ACTGTATCATTGCCTTTGTAATTTATAGTTTCTGCTGATTTTCTTATTATATATTTGTAAATATGAAGTGATTTCTTTCTTTTTTTTTTGATTTTCAGGCTGTCGGAGCTTAGTTCCGTTCTAGACTCTGACTGTGATTTTACAACAATCCGGTCACTGGCTAAAAATCGTCCTTTTTCGAGAGAACTGCGAGGCAGAGCATGGAAAGTACGTTTGTGATGATATAGTTCTGCTTTACTAGTATACTTATATTTTGCATTTATTTCCTCATGATATTCATTTTCACGTAAGGGGTAGTTTTTCCTGGGTTGCTCCAAATTATTGCTTAATTATCATATAATTTTACAGATCATATGACCGTTAACAAATTTTATCATCGATAGTTCAGGGCACTAAGTACAGTATTGTTCACACATATCATCACCACACCAGTAACATCATCAGGGCTCAGATAACAAGAATCTTAACAAGCCAGCTGCAATATAAAGAATAAAATGGAACTCTGAGCAACAACGAAAGTGTGAGTGACAGATATTGAGCCCAAGGGTAAAAGGACGGGTACACTGTAACCACTTTAATTGTTATAAAATTGCTATATTTTATTATTTTTTGTTTAGTCTACATGATATACGTACATTTTTAGCTGCTGCTTGGTGTAACGCACAAACCGAACCCCTTCGCCGAATGGGATGGCACTTTCAATCTCCCTGAGCAGTCTGAAATCAGAGCCGCATGTGCTCAGCTTGTCGGTATGCCTTGGGCTCAAATTTTTATATTGTACGTAACTGCACTGTATATATATTATAACTGCACTGTACCATCTGTTGAATATGTTGGTTACTGATTGCACGTGTACTTTTCTAGAGTCGTTCGGAAACGATGAGACGGACCGCTTAGCGCTCACCAGCGACGTCGAAAGCATAATAACGTTATACTGCAAGTCTCAGAAGAAGCGATTCGAACGCAACAGTGGTCTCATAGAAGTTTTGCAGATGATGGTCATGTTTCAGTTGCCAAAATCCGACCTTTATAACGTCTTCTTCGCGTTTGTTACAAAGTATATTCCGAGGTACGTGTACATTACAGTATATTTATGAAGACAATCAGTAGTGCAATTTAACCTGCGTATCACGAACTATGTTGAACTGCATCGCTAACTCCTCCAATACCTGTTCATATCTGCGTCATAACGGTAATCGTTCGTAATGACTGAGCCTAGGTGATTGAGGATGTCGGCTTTGATCAGTCAATCACAACAGGCACAAAGGTTACTTGCTGGTCGCAAATGTTGCAACTATCTCTCTCATTACTCTGGTTTTTCAGTTTAAACCTACAGTTTCCGATAACTTTGTCGGTTGTTGACGTATGTCTGGCTGAATGGTGTGACTTAGTACATTTTTGGTATTAACGAAGTAGAATGCTTTCATCAAAACTTGGATGCATGAAAGACTTTAGCAGTTTTTGTCTGAAGGACGTCATATGATGATTTAATCTTTTGTATGCGCACAATTCGAAATTTAAATTACACGTGTTTCAGGGACTGCGTCAAGGATGGTCGGCCGTTTGACCTATTTCGTTTGCTTGTTTTGTACCATGACCCAGAGTTGTGCTCTTTTCTGGATTCACACAAAGTTTTTCCGCATGATTACGCTGAAAGCTGGGTAACTTTTTGGCCCTACGTTTTATGACAGTGCTTTACCTCATATTTTATTATTTTATAGTTCAACTGTTTGTTTGCCTCTACCTTTCAGCTGCAAGTCGCCCTGCAGCTGCTGGACCTGTATTTGCTGCAAGCAGATCCATTTCAAGTGTTTTTTATGGGGCTTGTCATCCTACTTAATGCCAAGTATAGAAGTTTCTTGTTTGTTTTGACTCTTTGCTGACTGTTTTCATTGACCCCGTAAAGGACACAGATAATGGGGATGAAGGACAATAGCTGTGAGGATATTGCAGGTCAGGCATGAAGTTTTGTGTTTCGTATAAGCAGCTTTTGTATTTAACCGTTTTATTTTAGCCAGCATCAGATCCTACCCATCGCAACTGAAAGCTAATGACATCGACGATTTTCTTTCACTGGTATCACACTATTCTTCTCGGACTCCTCAGTCTTTCCGTCGGGTATCATTTCGTAGCCGATTTCTAAACTAACTTCGTTACTTGTTGTTCAAATCTATGCAGGAGTACCACGGCCCTTTGTTTGGCAGTAATTTTACGGCCGCCTTCGACAGTGTCACCGTTCATTCCCTCCTTTGCCTTCCAGTCTCCGTTCAAGAACTTATTCATCCAGCACGTACGGGCGAGGTAGTAGGCTCTCTGTTTGTCTTTCGATTGTTCATGTGCATGCTGTTTGATTTGATAGAAATGTTGTGATTATGACATTGTTTTAATAATAACTCTGTTTATACAGATTTTCTAATTTAATAGCGTTGTGTTATGAAGTGATAAAGTCTATGCTTCAGGACACACGCAGAAAAGGTATTCATCAATAAACCGTTTCTCGTAACTTACATCCTTCCTGTAATTACGTATGCTTTCTTAACATACTCCTTTGCAAATTTCAATTATTTCTGAAAATTGCCTATGTTGACCTTGTAAATTTCATTGTAGGCCATACTATAGGATAAATTATAATGCTTATTAAATCTATTTTGACTAATTCTATCCATCCTCTTCATCAGGGATGCACTTCCAAAATGCATTTCGACGTCTCATTCCACAAAGTTTCAACATGTCAGTATTTTTGCGATGACTGAAGCTTGCAGAAAATCTTTTCTTGCAGCTGACCTGACTCGGCAGAGTGACGGAATCTCCATGATATTTCTATCGATTTGTCTTTCTCATATTCACCATTCCCTAATACTTGTCGCATTAATATGCATAGTTTGCTTGTGCATTTTGTGTACATTATTGGACCTGTGTGGATCAGTGATTGCTGAAATGTTAGTCTGTGCTAATTTTACTCGCTAATTTAGGCAATAAACTCTTCATTGATTGATTATAAAATGGCTGATATAGTTTTGATTTACATTAACGTTGAACTTATTTGTGGTTAATTTTCAGGATACGACTGTTCGTTACTTTGTCGTCGACGCAAGGCCTACGGCTCAGTTTAGAAGTGGCCATCTCTTCGGTTCCTACAACATTGACTCATCGCAAGTAGGCACTGTTGCTGTCATTTTTCAACTGAACTTTTAGGTCTTAGCATTTTATATGTGTGAAAAATTATAATCTCTTGCAAATTTAATTGTTCGTTTCTCTGTTTCCTTGTTTCTTTTTCATCTTTTCTTTAATTTTCTTTCCCCCTCATGTTCTTTCATTCTTTATTCATAATTCCTTCTTCCAGCCAAAACTCTTCGATGGGCGATAAAACATTTAGTCTTTAATTCAGTTATTTCTGTTTTTTGTTGCTTATATTGACTGTTACATTTATAGTACGTTCTTGATCTGAGGAAATTTCAATCATCCGTACGAGAGATGGAAGCTTTCAAATTGCATCTCAGACCGCTTCATCATTGGTGTTTTCTCGGCAGTGGTCGCGACGAAGAAGATCGCTATGTTCATATGGTTGTGTCGCATTTTCTGAAACAAGGCACTCCTCTAGTCAGCTTAGTTCACGGCGGCTATTTCGGTAAGTGAACACTTTTGAGTCTCCAAAATCAACCCTTGCCCTATACATCGGGTGGAGCGTTATGTCGATTATACTGACATGACTAGGTTAAGTATGCTGTACTGCTATCTTCTGCGTCTTTTTTTATGCAGACCATGTTCCCATATCCTGTTTTTGAATTTCGTTCAGTTTCTCTGACAGGTGTCGACGCAAGTGCAATTCAGACGATAGACCACGCCAGGGTTGGGGGTATCTTTTAGTATTAGGATCCGTTTCTTAGCAAAAGTCCCCCTAGATCTTGCAGAGAACCGCATACTGTCCAAATGCCGTATTTGTTCATGAACCGCTGTATGCTCTTACTGAGATCCTTTGGTACTGAATCATCAACAGAAGATTGCTATCAAAGTTGCCGAGATAGGGGTAATTCAAGTTCTGTTCAGTTTCTGGGCTATATTTTTAAACTACCTGAGAATGAACCGCATGTACATTGGGTGAATGTGAGCGAAAATTCAAACGGAGTGGCAATGCATAGGCGGTGTAGAATATCTAAGTTCAGTGGTGACAACGAAGCGTTGTGAAAAACCATTTAATTGAGCGGCAGTCGGGCAAAATGATTCTAAAACAGGAAAGCGACGGAAAGAGTAAAACAATGGCAGCGATTATAGCTGAATATACCTTGATAAAATGAAAAGATGGTAAAAACCTATACCATTAACTCAACTTAGCTACAACTACTGCGCCAGTAGCGTTCTAACCTAGTGTACTATTTCCTTTTTCCTGTATTCTGTTTTAAAATAAATAAGTTTTTTTGCCATCTGGCAAAACAACGCCCGTCCCTCTTTGAACTAAAACCACGAATCTGGTTCCGCTAAGGATTGACATCCAAATGGGTACGAAATACAACAAGACATTCCTTTGCTGCAGTTGTTCTACCATTCTGCTAGCATGAGATGAGGATCTCCCTCAGGACCAGAGTGTTCACACGTTCGTCAAATCAGCTTTATTTCTCTAATCATAAATTATATTGAAATATTTATTTTAGTAAATTATTTAGAAAATTTATCAAAGCTCCATCGTTGCCTCTCCCAACCCCGGATGAGAAAGGACGAGTTTTTCGTAAAATCTGACCATCTTGTCCACATCGTACTGCTGTTATCGTCGTCCAGGTTACCAAGGGCTGCGTAGGCTGCTGGGAA